GCTGGCTGAGGAATTCTGGGAGTTGAAGTCCACAAGTCTTAAAGTTGCCAAGGTTGGACACCCCTGGTATAGATCCACACAAACCTTAGATATATTCACCATGTAGCCATATTGTTTACCTAGCAAACACTGTTCTAGTGAATTTCTTGTTTAATTATTTCCACAACTTTATTTAGCATCCTATTCCCAAAATCAGAAATCAGCTTTAGTTTTTCATGGGTTACTCTTTTTACTAACATCTCCATGGTCTAATTGCATTTTAAATGTATAAACTAGGGTGAATAGTTGAAGTCTTTTGAATTAAAGCAGAAGTAATCATAAGGATATATGAAGCATGCCTTTACTTCATTAAAGTTTATCAAAAACCTAAATAATAGATCTTGGCCTGAAAATGATCTGAAATGTTCTACTCTTGTCCTACTTCCCTGAGGGCTTCACATGAATCTGTGAACCAATTTGGTCTTACAAACATTGGGGCTGGCCAAAGGGGAATTTATTAAATCAGATTACTTTATTGTATTTTTATTTATTCGGTTTTTTTATAGTGGCCCAACTCAACCAATTGACTCTGGTTCATTTATTTGATGTGTGCCCTCTTGATTCTAAGAAGAAAGCTGTGGTAGGGAGTGGAACTAAGCATGATGCAAATTCAGATAGTGACTTGGTATACAAAAAATGGAAAACCATTTTCTTTGAATTGAGCTTGGTGACATGACCTGGCCTGGTTGGACTTTTAAGAAGGCAAAAACTGGATTCTCAAATATTATTTATTTATTTATTTTTATTTATTTATTTGATTTGCCAATTGTTTACAAGATAATAAGTATAAGTGTATACATAGTTGTGAATACATGAAATGGGTACATATAAGAAAAATAAAAGAATAAGAGAAACAATAGGACAGGGACGGTAGGCACGATGGTGCGCTTATGCACGCCCCCTACAGACCTCTTAGGAAAGGGGTGAGGTCAATAGTAGACAGTCTAAGGTTAAAGTTATGGATTATGGATGTTTGTAACACAATCAGCAGTGGCCATGGAGCTTTAAGATACACTTATAATACACCACTGATGCACAATTCAAATCAAGTGCATCAAGAAAGATTCTGGTAGTTCCAGGCTGATAGCTCCTAGAACTTCCAATCACTGTGCTGGTAGTCTCTTTTTTTCCTTCTTAGTTGATTTCTGCAGTAAGAAAGGGGAAAGAATCAGCAGGAAAACATGGAAGAATGATACATGGACAGTGATGTCAATTGGACTTCCACCAAAGTATATATATATATGAAAGACATGGGACAACTGCCTCTTATAAGGCTTCATCCTGAAATTCCCTACATGGTTTTGGATCTCTAGATTTCAGGGGGATCCAGAGTCTGCAAAATGCAAAACCCTTCTTAGTAGCCTCTTCAGAGACTTAATTGTTATAATCTGGGGTTGTTTTTTTTTTAAACATCTCTGTACAGTAGATTCATCTGGGAACCAACTCTGCAATTTCCGCCGGCCTGAGAACGTTATGCCGTCGGTTGCTCAGGGCTGGAGACTGAGGGGCACAGAGAGTCTTGCAAATATATTGTCTGTGTGGAAGTTGGCTTGAAAAACAGCTCTCCGTGTAGGGACTGGGTCAAAAAGGCACCACCGGGACGGGGCAGGAGGTTGGTGCCGCCTAACTGACTGACGGACGGGTGGGGGACTCGTCAGGCCCTGGGAACGCTGGTCTCGCAGCGGGCGGGCGGGCGTGTCCCCGGCGTGGCGGGAGAAACTGCAAGGGCTGTGAATAATCGGGCTCTGACTTGTTGGGGGGAATCAGCAGCGGATGGTAACCATCCCGCTCGGAAAAGACGGAGGGAGCGAGGTCTGTCGAAAGGAGCATCTTGCTGGCTAAGCGGGTTGCGGGGTTGCAGGGCGAAACGGGTGACGAAGGCGCGCGAAGCGGACGAAAAATCCTCAGCCGTCCTGGGTGGTGCGGGCGATGGAGTCCAGTCCGCAGTTTCCGTCTCTCCTCAGTAGTCTTCGTCTCTGGCAGCGGCGGAGGGCGGAGAGACTAGAGCACGGAACAGCCAGTTGTTTAAAATCCTTCTAGAACCGTTTCTAATTCCCCCTTGCGCCGGGGAAGGGAGAGCGGGAGGGGGAGGAGGAGCCGGAGGCTGGTGGGGGGAGGCAGCCAGCGGAGAGGAGGAGAGAGAGCAGCCTGTCCTGGTCTCTGCGTGTCAATCACAGGGCGGAGGTGTGTCCGAGCTCGCAGCGGGCCAATGGCGTGTGTGTGTGGCAGCGTCTCCATGGTGACTGGGCTGTTCCTGGGGAGGCTGTGATGGGTTGACAGGTGCGTGACAGTCGGAGCTCTCTGCAGGCATGTACGGCAAAGGCAAGAGCAACAGCAGCGTCCCGTCCGACAGCCAGGCCAGAGAGAAGTGAGTACAGCCCGCTGGACCGCACAGCCTGACTGGGCGGGGAGGTGGGCGCGCGTACGCCCCGCACAAAGTAACTTTACCGCTTATGAGAGAGGGGGCCTCGCTTGAGACCGGGGAGCTTCACCCCGACGCGGGAAAGAAGAGGAGATCGGAGAGGCGGAGGGGGGAAAGCTACAAGTCGGGGTGTAGAGTGGAGGGTATGCGCGACGCTTCCGAGCCAGGGGAGAGGAGTGCGCCGGACCTCGTTCGGGAAGCGGGGGAGCGGGTCTCGGGCGCTCTTTCCCGCGTGGGCTGGGAGCAGGACAAGACGGGACGTGTCTACTGCGCTTTTCTTGTGCTGCAGATGGCGAGGAAAGACTAGCTGGCTGGGTCTGAGGGGAGAAAGTGGTTCCGACAGACGGTGTGGTGCCTGGCTCCGCGGGAGGGCAGAGTCGGATTAGTACGGAGGCTCAGGGTCCTCTCCCAGTGTTTTGGTTTTGTTTCTCCCTGCCTTCACCACCTCGGTTGTGTGGTGTCGCTTTGGGGGAAGGGGAAAAAATGGTGTTGGAGTAACTTTGGTAACAAAAGAGTCCGTGCCGTGTGCTCGTCTGAAGCTTCCGCTGGAGGGAAAGAAACAAAACCCTCAACTCCGCCACGCTCAACTCTCTTCTTCTCCCGCTCTCCCCACCCCCACCCAAGATCCAGGGTCTCTTTCACCCCTTACCTTTTTGCACAGATCTGTAAGCTCTTGCTTTGGCTCTTATAGGGATAGGTGCTGCGTGCATTTCAAAAATAAGGCGAAGTAGTTTGTAGTTTCTATCTTTCAAGGGCCTCCTGGTACGCAGGAAGAAGGGCTGTTGGTGAAATCGCGATTGTTGAGGGGGAAATGTGAAATCGAACTGTAAAGCGAAAGAGAAGATTTTGTTGGGTCTGGGTTTGGGGAGGATTTGTAGATAATCCTGGGGTGGTAGACGTGTTGAAAGCAGTTGTGAATTGGAAGCCCTTTAGAATATTGGTAAAGATACAGTCTCCATTTACAGAAAAGTATTTAATTTCAGTGTAATAATTATTTCCTCAGTTACCAAAAAAACAAAACAAAACCCATCAAAACTTTTAAACTAAGCATGAAGTGGTATGGAAAACATGAAAAAAATATTTAGATAACATTCGCTAACAATAATTTGCTATAATTTTTGACTGTTACCATAATAAAGAATTCAGCCAAATGATTATATTAGAAAGTAGTGATAACACATTACTAGTAAGCAAATGTAAAAGACCGTTTTTGTATATTAAGTTTTCTTGTGAATTAAAGTTCTGTTAAAGTTTCAGTTTTCAGTGTTGTCAGTTGTAATTACAACTTTCGTTTTCCTCACTGAAAATAGTAGAACACACAGGAGAGTTGTTTATGAAGGGTTTTTTTTCTTTTTTGGTTAGGATGTGCCCAGCTGAATCAGAAATTATTTATTGCATATTTTTTTCTTCTGAACAGTCTTCAGTAAAGTAGTGTATTAGATACAGGATGAAGTGTTGGAATTACGGATATCTCTTCGGAAACGGTTTGATATATGGGGCCTTTTAAAATGTCATTGTACATAACTTTGGAACTTTTACACAACATGAAAATGAATGTGCAAAGCAAGATTGAGACATTTCTCTTGAGGCACTTTCATTGAATCTTCAACTAAAGATTTTCTCCTCTATTACATTCTGAAAAGGATAGTTACTTCCTGATTACAAAGACAAAGAAGTAAGCCAAGTGATTTTTCCAATATTTTATACTGGCACAGAAAGCGTATAAAGATAGGGACTGAAAACTAAATTTGAAACAGAAATTAGTGGATGTTTAAAATAGTGAATCACATAAAGCTATGCTGTATGTGTAACAGGAACTTGTATCTTTTGGGATAAAACTAGCCATACTCCTGATTGTTGTGTGTTCTCTGACAATCCATACATTTGCATTAAATCTAATTAATGAAAGCCTGATTGAAAACAAATATAAATTACCATTTTGGGTGAATCTTTGCATAGAATTTTTATTGTATTGGAATTCTTTAGAAAGTCTACATGTCTTAAATATTGTAGAACTTGGTCAGTATATAAGGTAAGCTGAGCTACTATCAAGTAAGGAATACCCTTTGGTGGGGAACTGCTAGATGGTGCTGTTTGATCTAAATACATTCATTACCCCATTATTTAGAGTTTGCTATAGTGGTCTTGTAGGGCTTTTTCTCCTGAACTTATACAATATTTTAAAATGAAAAATCAGAAACTGATGTAAGCAACTTAGAATTGGAGGGGATGCTTGAGTCTGTCAAATTGAATAATATAAACAATAAAATACATGGTTGTTACATCATTTATATAAAGCTGTTGTTTTATTGTCATATTTCTTAGATATGTCTGTAGCATAAAGTCCCTTCCCCCGCAACCCTATTAGGGCTGAAGTTCTTTCTTCAGAATTTGTGGAGTTCAGAGGAAGGTAAATAATATAATGCTAATCTTTTTATAAATACATGACTTGAGCTTCTTCAGATATAATGAAGGATTTGAAAAATGGTACATTCTGGTTAACATTTAAAAAAAATTGCTAGAAAAAAATACTGTGGCTACCTGTTTCTGGATTTTTTTTTAATGTAACTAGGCATAGGCTGTGTATAATGGTGGCAAATAGTCTGTTTAAGAATTAACATCTTGTATTTATTTAAGCAAATCCATTATTAAAAAGGGTGATTATATAATTTTAAGCATGTCCACACATAAATAAATCTCAGTTTTAATATATCTTGTGCATACATAATTATTTTTTGAATTCTAGCATGGCTGTTTAGATGCTAAAGAATTTATGTTAAAAAGTAACAGATATTTCCTTTTACCAGTGAGACTACATTTTGGCTAGTCCAGCTTTGGTAAACTAATATATACTGTAACAATTATATAGACAAGAACAGTTCTGCAGTGTGAAATTGTTACCTAAAACTAAATGCTCATGTTGTAAACCTGTTGATGATGAAGACTTACCTGCTTATGGTTGAGATTGTATGTTTAAAGGCTGAATTAAAGTTGCAGTCAATTTATATGTCTAATTATTCACTCAGACATGTCTTGTGTTTGTGTATCTGTGATTCTTATTCTAGAAAGTATTCAAACCCACATTAATTTGATTTTTACCCTGAAAAATGTGTTGTATATATTTGGCCACTGTTGCAAATTTTCGTAAAGTACAGAATAAGAAGCTCTTATCTACAAATTATAGTAGCACTTGTAGCATTCCATATGTGTTTTCTGATTTCTTGCTAAAATTCATACTTGCATTGTTCTGGCAATATAATTGATTCAGTGGAGGAATATAGTGTGTTGGAGAACACCAAGGCAAGAGGTCATTTAACCTCAAAAGAGTTAAATTTAACCAAAAAAGATCCAGACAGTTAAAGTAACTCCTCTCCTCCTGGGATCACCTGTAGAAGTTGTAAAATTAAGATAAACATTTCATAAATTTCTAGACTTCATTACAATAATTGCAATAATTTGTCTATTATTTCAGAAAGCAGTCAGCAGAAATTTGATCTGCTGTATCCAAGGTTGACTAAATAGGGGTCTATTAAATTGAGGGTTTGCTGTAATATGTGTCTTTCACAGAAATCCTGATTGCTGCCAAATTTCTACAAAAATGTTTTAAAAGATCTATTTCATTTTAATAAATACTTAGATTAGATTTTGTGTAGGAGGCCTGTGGAAAAGCCTCTGACTGCTAATCAAATAAATGAAAATCCGGCCACAGGGAACACAGTTTAAGAAATGCAGAAGCGTTGCGTCTGCATGCTCTATGCTCATGCAGCTGTTTTTGTCTTTCTAGTTTACCATGCTCAGATTAAGTAAATACATCTTCAATTAATCATTGGTCTTTATTCACAGCCAGACATTTTCATTACAAGGACTAAATCAAGCAAATTCTGGTTTGTATTTAATGTAAAATACTTTCTTGTTTAGATTGTCGTAACTATAATTCCCTGTTTTATAGAAACAGTTATGTCAAGGTTTATGAGATAATTGTGGTCTTTTCTAAGGGACAGTGGCAGAAAAAGGACATTAGATATATTTCCCATCTTTCATTTAGGAGCTCAACATGACATACATACACTGTGCACAATTTTAGGCAAGTTGTATTTTAGGCAAGTTGTATTTTAGGCAAGTTGTATTTTGGAGGATTAATTTTATTATTGAATAACTACAGTGCTCTTGGTCAATCCAAAATGTTAATAAACCTCAAACCTGAACATGTAAGAAAGTAAAAGTGAGGTTTTGGCTTTCTTAGGAGAATATCTATGTGCGCACAATTAGTGTGCAGAATTATTATGCAAGTAAATGAAACATGAAATTTTGCCTATCTCACTTGTTTATTTGCATCTGTTAAGTGAGAATAATAAACAATTCAAAATGTACAAATAAACATTTCTGATATTTAAAAAAAATCAGTGACCAATATAGACATCCTTCTTTTCAATAACAGTCATAAGCCTTCCATTCATGGAGTCTTGTCAGTTTCTTGATCTGTTGGTGATCAACTTTTTGTGCAGCAGCAACCACAGCCTCCCAGACACTGTTCAGAGAGATACACCATTTTCCTTTACCGTAAATGTCCCATTTAAGAAGGGCCCACAGTTTCTCAATAGGGTTTAGGTCAGGTGAGGAAGGGGGGCAAGTCATTATTCTTTCATCTGCACCGGGGAACTACCAGAGGACTGGAAAAGAGTTGATGTGGTTCCTATCTTCAAAAAAGGGAAAAAAACAGACCCAGGAAACTATAGACCAATCAGCCTAACATCAATACCCGGGAATATACTGGAAAAGATAATTAAAAAAAAATCTGCCAACATCTAGAAACAAGTAAAGTAATAACTAGCAGTCAGCATAGGTTTGTTAAAAACAGATCATGCCAAACCAATCTTATTTCATTCTTTAACATAGTGACTAAATTTAGATTTCAGCAAGGCATTTGACAAAGTAGACCACAATCT